ACACACACACACACACACACACACAGACAGACACACAAACACATTTTCCCTTTCTTTATCTTGCTTTATTTGGACAGACAGATGGATATGAGAAAAAAGGTGTAGGAGTGTGTTAAACTCCCTCAGTTTTTCAACAGCCAACACTAATATCTAAAGAGCAGGGTGGCCAATATACATAACACAAGCTACTGAATGAGATGGACACAGATTTTCTGAAAAAAACAAACACTTTGTACACCAGATTTACTTAAAAGAATGTAACTTACTAAAAAAATAGTTTACTGTCCATTGCCAAAAAATTAATCAACAAAAACTACCTTGATGCATTAATGCTTTACTATGTAAATAATATATTGAGGATTATGGGGGGAGATCTTAACTAAAATGATTGCAAAATGATCAAATGGAATGGTCCCTTATCAGGCGCAGAGAACATTCAATAAATAATGTAGGCAAAACATAATTAGAACATATTTTTGTTAGCTGGGTTAATAAATATAATGTCACAATCCAAAAAATAGGCTGAATTTATTATGCTTATGCAAAATACAATTTCTCATTTTTGTGGTGAATTATGACCTGGGCATGTTTTTGACTGGTTTGTGGGTTTCCCACAGACAGCAAACTTTTACCTGTGACCATAAATCTGCCAACATGTTTGATTGGCAGCTGTCATCTTCCTCAGACAGGATAGGGGAGGTCTGATTTTTACGACAAGGCAGTGAAGAATCTCTGAAGCCATAACATTGTTTAACTCTCCTACTCTCCACTATCTTCAAGTGCAGTTGGTGTAAAACCGTCTGACAGCTTTACATCTTCCAAGTGTTTATTGGGCCACTTATGGCGCCAGTACCTTAAATAGCCACTAAAATCTGTAACAGTATATGCATTTACTGTAAACCTGAAAAAATGCACTTAGTGCATATTTTGCATACTTAATGCAAAATACCATTCAGACATTTGAATGATTGGGGTTGGTAATTTATCCCTGTGATGCAAAGCTGGATTTTCAGCATCATTACTCCAGGCTTC